GAGAGAGAGAGAGAGAGAGAGAGAGAGAGAGAGAGAGAGAGAGAGAGAGAGAGAGAGAGAGATGGACCGAGACGAAGATACGGACAGACCGAACAACAGCTGTCTGCATTTGGTACCTGACCCAAGTCCTGCATTCCCGCCTGGAAACCACCATTAATTACAAATGACAATACACCTGGTCTCCTTTAAAGGTCAGGTTCCATTTAGATATTCAATTCATGAGCAGTCAGATGTGAACTATGCTGATTCAATTTGGTGGGCTGCAAACTTTTTTTACCACCAGTTCATCATAGTTGCCGTTATCCTACGACAAGTACACCTACGGGTGCTCTGTTTGGAATTGTGGACATCATTAGACAATACATCGTGGACCTTGAATGATACCAAGCTCATAGCTGTCTCATGCAACCAACTTCTCACCGTTCAAGACGAGGCAAACTTCCAGTCACACAAACTCAATTGTGATATATGACCGCAAGAAGGACAACGTCAGCATATCGACAGCTCAATAGTGTTCAGCTGTTGTGGAACAACAGCGTCCTACGTTCATCATAAATTGAACATAGCAACACTCCCCGCTTTCCAAGGGGACGAATCCACTAGCGACCACACAGGGCGGGAAGGCATTCCATCTTTCTTTGGAGGGGATATACATACGTTCACCGGTCCTCTGCTCTAATCGAACAAGCTCTCCTCTGCTGCAACCTTGCTTGACGAAGAGATACCGATATCATCCTGTCATCCGTCCCTGCCTTTTGCCACATCGCAGACAACAAATGGACTGAACCACATTTCTCAGGCGTATACGGCAAAAAACAACACACAGAAACATAAGAGAGACAAATCCTCCTCGGGCCTTGGCTGTAAATGGGTTAGCAGAGGCCCAGCAGCAGCAGGTGAATATATATATCCTGAAACTGCACGGAGAGCCGTTGCCGACCTCTCATTGACTGCTCACCTCACTGAAGACCTACCAGAATAGCACACAACCAATAGCAATCAGTGCCAATCACCAAGGGACACCTTCCAACCTCCTCTAAGGTTGATAGCAACCTGATACCTTTAAGAAAGAATTCGAATGGTTCCCCGGTTCCTCCATATGCTTTGTGCGTTGAACCGAGCACGCAACGCGTTCCTGATGTTGTTGCCACTTCCTGGCGTGGTTTGCAATATATATCGTCAAATAGAACTGCCCGGTAAACCGTAGGCAGAGAGGGAGAAGAGGACAACAAACGAGGGGCTGTGACAAACTGTTTCGCCGGAGTTTCACCGACTCGTCAGGAGGCTGAATATATTTGGCCAACAACGAAACATTTCTTTGGGTACGAACTCTCAACTCCCTGAAGATGCTGAATCCGTTCGAACTACGTCAATCTGGCTTCTGGCTTGTGCCAGAGAAGTGGCAACGCATCACTGCTAGGCCGATTGCTGACAGTTCTTGCAGGAAGGATGACGGTATCAGTTCGCCGAGAACTCAAACGGAAGAAAAGGCAATGAAAGAAACACGCTAAGAAGGAATAGAAGTCCCCGTCATTTTCGAACAATGCTGTCATAACATCTGTCATGTTTCCCTGTGATTTCTGTGCCAGCCCAGATTGCAGGAAGTAGTGCTAGATAGGGGTCATTCAGCGAAAAAAGAAAGGGGCACATCGACTCGAAGTCGGCACGCTGTGCGACTAGAAAGTGTTGTGATGCCTCAGGCGTGCGACAAAAACACATACTTACTTCAGAGAGAGAGGGTGGTGTGTAAATGAGGCAGGCTCAGTGGGCTATAACCGTGCTAGAGTAGAAGGGACCTACTCAGAATACAGACTAGGTTCCTGCTACTATGGTGCAATTATAGCCCAGAGGCCTGGCCCAATAGAGAACATGGGCCTCCCTTTTCCCACTAGAGGGATTTCATTCTGGATCCTAGACGCGAAACAACTGCTGGATCATCACGAAACCGACTGGGCACAAAATGTGCCCCCCTCTGTTACAGCAGCTCTGTGCAGTCCTCTCCATACCCTACTGTTCACAAAAGCAAGTGACTGGGCTCTGAAAGAGTGAGAGAGAACAAAGTATATTTGCGGACATCGTAGCTTGCGTTCGCCAAGTGAATCATTTCGAAAACTTCGACCATGTGCTCGGATCTCCAACTTTCTCTGTATCCGGATGGCAGAACAGCATTATTTTGTGAAACAAGGTTCACCGACCTCCGAATCAAACCGTTGATAATATGTCTCAGCGACACTATCCCACAGCTCGCCACAGCTCGCCATTACAAGAGACGCTCTCTCCCACAGCTCGCCAGTCCCGTTGTCAATGAGACTTGCTGTCGGCGTGCCACAAACTGTCTGCCCGAGTCCATTCCTGCAAGACGGATAGGACAAGGGGTAGAATGTGAAGGACAGGACAAGACTGTCCAAAGAACAGAGCTGCCGTGATGCAGCAGAGGACAAGGATGATGAGCGGAAGATAACTCTGCAAGTCAAGACCGTGAGACGGTACGGTACTAGCTACTGAGTGACAGATTGGTTCGTCAGTGGCAGACGATGAGTGGAGAGTGACACTGTGAGAACAGCAGCCGGAAACTGACAACGCCTCTGCTTCCATTGTTTATTGTGCCATCCATACGCATGCCCAAACCCTTTGCCCACAGAAATGCAAGCTGGCCAAGAACCAAGAATGAGCAAGAAGGATAGTTTATTGTGGCATCCATACACATGCCCAGACTCTTTGCCCATCGAAATGCAAGCTGGCCAAGAACCAAGAATGAGGAAGAAGGGTTGCGACCGAGCATACCAGATTCAACTACGGTAGTCTCCAGCTCTTAAACTCGACAGCATAACAAACCTTGTACGACCATCATTTACGGTGGCAACAAGTCGTCATCGCATAAACCCTATGGCATTCCAAGCCTTCTACGATGATCATTTACAGTGGCATTCACAAAGCGACCAGCCCCTAAGACCATAGAAAGCAGCGACGTCAGAGATGGACGCTCTTGCGTTATTGCTGGCAGGACCACAGACCCAATCTCACCTAAATCCACCGCAAACAAGCTAGCACTGCATCAATGACTGGTACCCAACATCGGTACGAACCCCTCTTGAAGGATACAGAGGTGCTACAAGCCTTCCCTCTGAAACAACTTAAGCTTCTCCACATCGTATGCAAGCAGAGGAGGGATATCGTGCGCGGGCATGCAGGCGGGAGTTGGAAGGCAGAAGGAGAGGTCTACATCCAGTACGGCATATCCAACAAGTGTGGATGGACGGATGGCCGGGACCCGTCAAAAAGATCCACAATATCAAAGCTCGAAGCTTGAGAAGCCCCCAACAGCAGTCTCAGTTTTGTTGTAGGCAAGATGGCCGATGAACCTGTCGTGTGATCAATCAAACCAACTTGCTATCACTGGTGGTCGTTCCGCAGCACCGGCCCAACATATCTACACCAGACGTGTCCTGCAAAGGGAATTGTCAAGGCATGTAAGCAAAATGGTGGCCAGAGTGCAGCCTCACCCTTGCCGAAAGGACGCTGCATGCCGACCCTTCATTCCATGCTGACCCTTCATCCCCGATGCATCATCACACAGAACCGGCTATTCGTCCCTGGAATGATCATGCATCACAACATCGAAAGAGAAGCAAGCCATTGTGTGAGGAAACAGAGACGCAAGTAGAGAAAGTTCGCAATAAAATTGATTGATTGATTGATTGTTCGATAAGCAAAACCCTAGCAAAAGACGTGCCAGGCGAACGTTTTTCAAGCTAATGGCATATGAAAGACTGCTGCCGACAGGTGCGCATCAGGGAAGGCACTTACTTCTCCCAGATCGTGCCCCTCACTTCAAGCTTCAGCTCCTGCATGTCGCCTAGCGAGAAATAATTTGCAAGGTGTTTTGGGATTGCTAAACAATCATTGCTCTTCGTGATGTCATCGAGCGAGTCACGGATGCTCCTTGGCACGCCCATCCATATCATCGCACGATCATGCCGCCCAACTTCGAGACGATATTTGAACTTCGATGCATCTGTCGGTTCCCCGAGGAAGGTTATGTATGCGGAATACGTTGACGTCGTCAGGAAATTCCTTTGTTCCTCGAAATGCAGGCAGAAGTACTCGTCCTGAAACATGTACAGCAATGGATCGCTTGCTCGCTTCGAGTCTTCTATGTGCTTCAGTGGTTCCGTGAATACGTGCGATATCTCACTTGCCTCTTTCACAGGACTACCTTGGTGCTCATGCTCAAGGTGTAGCACAATCTTTCTCACATCTCCAACCGTGAGGCACCCTCTAACCGGGCACCGGTACGGTCGGAACCGGCAGCTCTTCTCATGTTCCTCTTTCTCGTCATATTTCAAGACTTCTGCGCACCCCTTGTCTTGAAACTTGCATGGCAATTGCAGCGAGGCCGCCACCTTTTCAAGCGACAGGCAACGGATGTTCCCAAGCACGCCTCGGCAAGTCGGGCACCACCCGCTCAGCTTCCCTTTACAACCGTTGCAAACCGTATGCCCATTGACACACTGCATTTCACACCATCATTTCGAAACACCACAACCACACACAAAGCACATCAACAAGGTGAACACTTTTTTTCCCCCTTCAGAACATGCATGCATCAGATGTTGCATAACCTGGCCTCATCCCGCCACAACAGCTAGAAAAAGCCTACAATCTTTCACTTTCGCAGGGGCCACTGCAAATCATCATTGGCAAGCCAAATGAGTACCATCCATTGGTCGAGCTGGGCCCGGGGAATGGCGTGGAACCAGAGTGTAAGGGGTCCCAGTTTACTATCGACTATCGTCCAATCATCCAACCAAATCATCACCATCCATGATTCCTGCTAGTGATACTCGGAAGAACAAGAACGCACAGGTACTGTGGCGGCATGGATTGCTCAATCATCCAGCCAAATCAGTACAAACAGGGTCAAACAAGAATGCAGAGATTTCCCAATGGCCAGAAAGGGGGAAGGGAGGGAGGGGAGGGGGGGAAGGCGGGGTGTTTATTTTTTTAAAGGTCCGTTTTGCTGACTATAGAATGAAAGAACAAACAGTGCACGGAAGGCGGTGTTTTTTTTTTTTTTTTAAAGGTCCGTTTTGCTGACTATAGAATGAAAGAACAAACAGTGCACGGAGCATCACTGTCATTATGCCATGCATAAATCCAGGGGGGGGGAAGGCGGGGTGTTTTGTTTTTTTTAAAGGTCCGTTTTGCTAACTATAGAATGAAAGAACAAACAGTGCACCGACGGAGCATCACTGTCATTATGCCATGCATAAATCCAGCTAGTGATACTGGGCAGGACAAGAGAACACTGAACACACTTCACTCTTGCTCTCCAAGGGCACTGGGAGTGTGCCAGAGGATATAGAAGAGATGAATGCTGTCAGCAGTTGCTGAGTCGACAGCATTCATCTCTTCTATTCCTGGGAGAGTGCCTGTAAAAAAGATGAACCTTTTTCACTCTTGTACCTTTATAGAAATGAATGCTGTCACAGATTTTTTACTGGGGTGTAAAGGTACAACATTGAACAAATTGAGATAGCGAAAACTACAGGCACATCTCAGACATCAAAGACTGTGGTACGACAGGGCGGCTCATTCCAACTCCGGAACCGTCAACAGAACCAGACAAGTACCTGGACGGAGAACGATACACCCCGAGTTTCGTTTCTCTGTGTCGAAAGACAGGATGGGAATTGAGAAGCGAAAGGCGACAACAGCAATTTGAGTTATCTGTGGTATTTCTGACAGTAGTATTCTGATCCGTACTTCAGGGCCTCTCGCCCCGACGGGCACGCACGGCGTAGGGCCAACACCCTCCTCCACAGGAACCGAGTCTCTTCACCACTACAGACAGGACACGGTGATTAAAATAGAACCGTACCGGTCATGATATCCACCCCACCCCTGCAACACCCCACTCTCAACACCACACGGACACGAAACATTCACGCACACTTCATTCCGTCCCGCACGGGACCCCATCCTCAGATACAGGCTGAGAAAGATTTTGATAACTGCTGTCCAGTTTCTGCACGCGGGTCAGTACAGATCTTGTTGGAGTACTTGTAAAAGGGGTTGTTTTGTAATTTTCTCAATGAAGCAGGGGTCGAGTCGTAATACATCCCTCCTTCCTGAAAAGGGAAGTAATCCCTTAGCAGGAGTGGAGCGTGTGTTTCTGACAAAAGGAACCCTGGACCTGTTTTCCAGTTTTTATTATAACAAGTGAGCCGGCCGCGGCCCAACGCCAGTCCCAACCCAGGCACGGGCATTATCTGGCACTGGCGACATTGAGGGTGTTTGTTTAGAACATGAGGGACGCGCAGCATTCGTGGGGGGCATCAGCCAAGGCATCAGCACGGCGTCGGATCATACTTGCGGCGCACTTCTGCGGTGCGCATGCGCCATGCGCCATGCGCAAATTAGTGATGTGCGGATCACGCGCCCAATTTTTTTATTTTTTTTATTTTTAAGGGG